TATATTTCCCCGAGCCATGACCACTCAGTTGAACGTGCTTGGTCCCAGTGCGAAAACAATAGCCAAAATACTACTAGTACGTGGCATAACTGTGGAGTTTGTCATCAAATGATAAAAGGACTCCGAAGCTATGAAATACCGCTGAGAATGGTGGACACCACCAGCTGCAACTTCCACGAAAAATGTTAAAGTGGTACGAGATATGGTGCGGCTCAATCCGACGAGGTCGCTAACAAACATAGTCAAGAAGCTGGAGAAAAGCTATCCCTCAAGCTGTCACATTGCTGAGAAAAAGCTATTACTTTGAATTAGTAGTTATTCGATCTATCCTCCAAACTACCAAGCTAAAGGCTAGACCCAGTCCAAGAGAGATAATTTGAGATGTGAAGCCGGGTTTGGTATTTCATTCGTGAACTTCTATTGGAAAACGAGCCCTCTATTAAAAGTTTTACAGCTCTAAAGGGACGAACATTTGAGCAAGTAATTTTGGCGCACCCTGTAGTGCTAGAGATGGTGAGAGTAGAGGCAACTTCAACTGAACCAACCTTCTCGGTATATGAGATTGTGTAGCACGAAACGCTGCCGCACCCGCATATCCTTCTGGTTTAGAATCTAGCGCTAACTCTATGGCTTGTCGATGATCATCCACTTGCACACCTCCTTGGTCTTGAACGGCAGTGGCGGCTATGGCATCACTTCTTTTCGCAGTTGCAACTTGATCGCCTGGCCGCTCTTGCTGATCTGTTTGCGGGTGTGTGATTGGCACTTGGCCTGCCGCCTTTGCTTTTTCAGCCGGCGGTGGTTGTGCCGTCTTTTCAGATGGTTCCGTTGTTTTGGCATCCTTTTTCTCTTTTGGTTTTTGCAAATCCTTCTTTTTTGTCGATGTTGCCTTACGACTTGGTGATTTCTTGCTCTTCTTACGACGAGGCATGTGTTTTTTGAATAAGGTTGATGGTGTTTTGCCTCTCTTGCCTTTTTTGGAAGTTTTACTCTAAAATTGCAATGCTCACTTCTTTTCTATGTTCTCATGAAAACTAATGAAAACTATACCTTCTTAGACTCTTTCTTAGATTTCTCCTTCTTAGATTTCCTCTTTGAACTGTCAGATGTCGACCGCCTGTAACCCAAAGCTATATGTACAAGGCACTCGAATGGTAACTGCCCTAAATTTGTGGGGGGGGGGGTGGTCTCAGCGAAGGTAACACTTTTTTGATCTTCTCCTCGGCACAACAGATTGTAGGGCGGTCCAGGTTTAGGGGACATGCGATGTTTCAGACTTCGATTATCAGGCTTCGATATATGATCTCAGCCCTATTGAGGTTCGAGGCACCATTCCTGGAGACCTCATAATCTATAATAATAATAATGACCTAAAGCCGTGAAATTTGGCAAACCTATTCGAGAAAAGTCAAGAGATGGGCGTGCGAAATCTGATGCAATGCTTATGTAACACTCTGGAGTATCGCCTAAAGTTTGCAGCGAAGCATCTCCTTGAAATGCATACAGTAAGACCCAGCAACACCTTTCCTTTTTTCTGACACAACAGAAACGATACCTGATTCTTCTTTTTAATAAGTGGCACTTTGGTAACTTCACCCTACGTTTGTATCTTACTACCTACATTTTGCCACCATGAGATGATCCCTGGTGGGGTGTTCAGAGTTGGCGATCGTACGTGCGATTAGGCGATTAGGCGATTGGGCGGGGAAGATTACATACGTATTGATTGGTTTGCTCCGCCCATAGAACGTTGTAGGCGAGTAGGCGTGTAGGCGAGTAGGCGATTAGGGTGATTAGGCGATCGCTCAAAATAAATACGTACCCTTCTCTCATTGCCTACATGCCTACTCGCCTAATCGATATGTATGCTTTTCTATTTGGATTATCGCCTGATCGCACATACGATCGCCAACTATGAACGCTCCGTGAAACCTAGGCCGCATTCGCATGCTTAAAGCAACAGTCCCAGCAGGGTGGGCGTGGTCGGAAACGGCTGCAATCCCCTCGGCCGATTCCCACTTCGGAGCTGTTCAGCCCCTAGTCAAGAACGTAAGAAGTGTGACTGAAAAAACTCACCTTGGAAAGCCGCTAGGGAGGGAGCTGAAGTGGGCGTGGTCGGAATCGGCCGAGGGGATTGCAGTCGTTTCCGACCACGCCCACCCTGCTGGGACTGTTGCTTTAATAATGCCACTTACTTCGACGGAGTTGTTAGCTGTTTACACGACGGCAACCACCTCCATGCACCGCGTCGCTGACTTCCGCCCGCCGTCTGGAAATACAATCAGCATGCTTTCGAGCGTCTACGATATGCATGATAGCCTGTCACGTACTTCTACAGGTGTTGCAACTCCACTTTCAGCGGTAGCGCCACTGGACTCCGGTGTAAGTGTAGCGGCTCCTGTACTATCGCCGGATGTCTCGCCTTGTGGTGAACGTCCAGTCGTCTTCTTTCCGCTAGGTGTCTTCCTCTTACCCGGCTTTCGACTTACTCCTCCCGACTTTTGAGTCCCGACAGCGTTATACCCCTCTGAGTCTTCCGACTTTTCTCCTTTAGTTTTAATTAATTCCTTCTCCGTTGCTCTTTCGCTCTTTGCAGTCGCAGTTGTCGGTCCCTCATTTTCATTCGGGTCCTTGACCTGTCCTCCTGCTTTTAACCTGTAAAGAAACTGCATTGATGAATCTAATCATGAGATTGAGTGATAAATTCTTTTTTTTTGATAATAATTCTCAAAACATGATAACTTTCCATAAAACCGAACCAATCGAATGCAACATCCAGCACAGCATTTCACAACTGTCCTCCTCGAATGTAGCAATGTAGGGTTTTTCAGGTTAGGCAATCGTCGACGCAAAGAATGGAAGCAGTTCTTTTTTGAGTTGTCCGAAATCATCGTGGCTCTTCTTCTTCAGTCATTGAGATTGTGTAGAGAGGGGTTCATTTCATTCAGTTTCCACAGAATCATATGAATGTAGCAGTACATGAGGGCGTGAGGTATCATCAGGTAGATACATCATCAATCGTTTTCAGTGGAAAACATTGCAGATCCGCAGCAAGTCTACGCAGCTGGAAACAGTAGATGTCTGCGCTAGCGCAGTGTCACCTTTGAAGGAAGCGATTACGATAAGGAGGGAGCGCATCAGGGAAGCATGCACCACACGAATCAGTTACTTGGCTGCCAGGAAGCGAGGTGTGGCGCTTTCACAACGAAAGGTGCGCTGGTTGCTGAGCAGGACTTCGAAAGCGCTCCGCCCCCAAAAGCGATCCGCCCACTAGTTTACTTGTTGATTTGGACGAGCTGCGTGCCAGCAGCGGCGCAAATGGAGCATCTCGATTAAAGCGTGGTTTGGCATGGTGCCATCAAACGCGTTGCGGTGAACTCGTTCATACGTCCACTTTCTGAGCTGTTACCTGTTCATGAGTGAAAACCAACGGCCAAAAAAGGGGTCCCGTTTTGCGTTTTCTTGACGGATTTCTCTGCTTTTTTCGCCACTGGCGTACCATTGAGCACCACCACGTCACACTGAACCTTC